CATGCTCTCTTAGCATGATTAAGGTCTTCCATACACTCCCCCCAACACCCCATTCGAACCTTTGGAGATAATAGAGAAGGGGAGAGCCACACTTCAAGAGAGAGGTGAAGAAGAAGCTGGCCGCAGGTTCGTCTTCCAGTAGATAGGGGTGCTTGTTTGATCCATAACTTGAGCTTCACTCGTCCAAATAAGACGTATAATATACCAAAAGAAAGATCTCAAGACGGGGAATCCGTGAAGGTCTGGTTTGCATCAATCAGAGTAGTGGAAGGCTTCCAAATCGTCCGAGCAGAACAGGACCTCGCAGAAACGGATTTACTCTTCTAAGTGAGTTTTAACTCCAAAACCTTTCCTTTCATTTTCCCAATGATATCAACGATTTGTGGAACTATTATACACTACTCCAAGTGTATAATATGTCCTTGTAAAGTTATTTTATTTGTGTAAAGGTTAGATACTAACCTAGAGCAAATCTTGGAAAACTATGAATCGAGTTAGCCGGAAAACACCCATTCTAGGGGCTGTTTTCGTATCAACGATTAGGGGTTGAACTAGCACCTTGAGGAGGCTGTTTAACACTCATTTCCAAGCAAGGAATCAGTTCTCAAACTTCCTTGGACGAGGCTTTGGTCATTGGATCGAGAAGGAAAGTTTTAAAGCTCATTTAAGGTGAGGATTGACATCTAATTGCTTACAACTTGTAGGTTAAGCATGAGATTACCTAAATGCCTAAATCATAATTTTTCATGAATTATGATGATTAAATATTGATGAAATATTGATATAGTTCCCAAAGAATGAAATTGGAAATGATTTGAGGATGTATGAATAATATGAGATTAAATGAGTTATAAATGAACTATTTTGTGAAATAGGGATTTTACTCATGTATGAATTATGTGGATACATAAATGAATATTTATGTATTGAAATTGAATACTTAAGTTGCTGCTACATGCTTATAAATATGTAGAGAATTACAAAATGAGAGTATTTGTATGATAACAATAATCTTAATAGTATTGAAATACTAGTTAGTGATTATTGGAAATTGTTGATAGAATTGATATTAAGGATTGGATTGTATGAAATGCACTTGAATATACTTCAAGTGTATATAATGACTTAGTATGAGACTAAGGTTAAGTTATGGGCAGTCTTTAAGGATGACTCATGGTAGTTTATTGATATGTCAATTCTAGGCAGAGGTTTGCTTAGGAATTGGACCTTGGTGCATGGTGATGTGACAGAGCCGAGCTCTAGAATGCATGGTAAGGTGATAGACTTGTAGTTTATGTATGGTATAACTAGAGCCGAGCTTTAGGGATTGCGTGGTGATGTGATAGAGACGAGCTCTAGAACGCAAGGTAAGAAAATTGACCCAAGTGACATGAATTGTATGGTGATGTGATACAGCCGAGCTCTAGAATACAATGTCATGTGTTAGGGTTGGACTCTATGAATTGTCGTGGCTTATAGTCACGGGGAATGGGAATGGTGATTTCTAAATGAATATGGACCCACGGGCCGACTACTTGACTTTTATATAAAGTAAGTATATTTTCAAACGGGGTAACTTAGTATTACAACCATATTGTACTATCACCCTATTTGAGGGTCTTGTGTTTGAAATACTTGTTGTATATCTATTAGATGCCTGCCACACCAGTTCTTAATAGCCGTATAGAGTACTGACCCCTTCGGGGGCGTGCCACCACCATTTCAGGTTGAGGCTTGAGCTTGCATCTTGTGCTCGTTGATTGAGTGATTCCTCGGAGAGAAGACTTGGTTCGTGCTTCCTCCATTCTATTTGAAACATTAATAAATTTGCTCATGGATATTTTACTATAGAGCCTGCGTGCTCATGAATAGCCCTGTGTGGCCCTTTTGTTGTAAACAATGTTTTCCGCTGCGATATGAATTACTTATTATGTTTGTTTATGTATGTTATATGTGAATGATATTCAAGACGCTTTGTATAATATGGATGTGTTGAACTGCGGTTGACTATTCGTATTGTACGGCAGGTTGTTGACGTGTCCGGGGAGGTCCGGGGCGTGACATCCACACCATACAAACTTGAGCCATACATTGATTTTTCCAATCAGCATACTGCTTCTTGCAATGCTATATCCACCCACATTGAACCAAAATCTTCAATCAAGCGAATAAACATGAGTGCTGGAGAAATGCCATGAATAATGAATTGAAAGCTCTTCAAGATAATCAAACTTGGTCTTTAATTAGTTTACCTCTAGGAAAAACAAATGTAGGTTGCAAACGGGTATATAAAGTCAAATTCAAATATGATGGTTCAATTGAAAGATACAAAACCCGTTTATAAGCCAAAGGGTTCACCCAAACTAGAGGCATTGACTTTTTTGAAACCCTTTCTACAGTTGCAAAGCTCATCACTCTCCGGCTCTTATTATCAATAGCTTGCAACAATGATCAGTACATACAACAACTTGACTTAGACAATGCCTTCTTACATGGCAATCTTTGTGAGGAAGTTTATATGAAGCCACCACAAGGACATTTCCTACCCAAACCTGATTTAGTATGCAAACTGCACAAGTCTCTCTATGGACTTAAACAAGCAAGCCGTCAATGGAATCACAAACTCACTTATGCCTTGATCAAAATTGGATGTCAACAAAGTTCTGCAGATTACTCCCTTTTCCTTAGAAAATCTACTTCTCATTTCACATCAATACTAGTTATGTAGATGATATCATAATTGCTAGCAATAATTCAGTTGAAATCACAACAATCAAGAAATACTTGAATGATGAGTTCCATATCAAAGACCTTGGAAATCTCAAATACTTTCTTGGATTAGAGGTTGCACGCTCTAAAAAAGGATTAATCATCAACCAGAGGAAGTATTGTCTAGAACTTATTGATGAATTTGGTCTCACAGGTTGTAAACCTGCTCCTACCCCTCTTGATCCATCACACACCTAACTCTAGAACACCACTTGATAATCCTACATCATTTGGCAGATTGATTGGCAGACTCATATATCTCACCAATACCATACTTGATATTTCTTTTGTAGTACAACATCTAAGTGAGTTTTGTTTTTTATCCAAGGGATTCTCACTTCAATGCAGCATTAACAATCCTCAAATATCTCAAGAACACTCCTGGACTTGGTTTATTCTATTCTCTCTCTCTTTTTGTCCTGGGGCAAATCACTCACAGTGGGGAAAGTGCCGGGGAACACTTAGCTATCTGAATTCATTACTAATAATTAATAAAAGTTACATGATTGAAAAACAGAGAAGTACATAGAGAGAAAAGGAAAGTGAAAAGAGTATTGGTCTATTCTATTCTTCTTCCAATACTCTTACTATTCAAACTTTTTCTGATTCAGATTGAGGTACATGTCCTACCATAAGAAAATCAATCACAGGTTTCGTTGTATTCCTTGGAAGTTCACTAATATCCTGGAAGTCAAAGAAACAAAGTAGAGTTTCAAGATCCATCTTCTGAAGCTGAATATCGCTCTATGGCATCCTTAAGCTGTGAGCTTCAAGGGCTTCAATTATTACTGAAGGACACGTCTACCAATGTTAATCTACCATTCTGTGTATACAATGACATTCAATCGGCCATTCAACTTGCTAAAAATTATTCCTTTCATGAACGAACAAAGCATGTAGAAGTGGATTGTCATTTCATACGGATCAAAGTTGATGAAGGTTTAATCAAATTGTTCTTTGTTCCCTCGGCTCATCAAGTGGCCGACTCCTTTACCAAAGCATTATATCCAACTACTTTTCAACAGAGTATCTCCAAGCTTGGTCTCCACTCCATTTACGACAAAGCATTTCATGCAGGACCATGCATGTTTACGTGAAGAAGCGGTTACTACGGCATAGCCTTGTGTTAGTTTGTTAGATATTAGTTGGACAATTTGTTAGATATTTTTATGTTCATTTTGTATTTCATTACTATATAAAGAACTCTGCACCAACTCTTTATGAATATACAAGATCATTACTTTAATTCTTCTTCTTCGTCTAGCTTACAATCGCTAATAAACTCCTACTGAGTTCAGTCTTTGTTAATACCTAATTAATTCAAAATGAAAGATTTTTCTCTAGAACTAACATATTAAATGAGCAGACCTTTTGACCTTTTGATCATGGAACAGGCAACCATTATGAGCGGAGCGGAAATTCGAACAAATAGAATTTATTTTCACATTAATGTTGACAATAATGTATGAACGAATAGATTTATATATTTCTGTAACGAGTTTTTTTCCATTTTGAGTCCTCCGATTATTGTGTCATTGACACTTTTGGTACTCAAAGTCCTCCGAGTTTTAATTTTTTCAATTTTAGTCCTCAACTATTGTCATAGAGACACTTTTAGTCCGTAACTTCAAAGTTTTCCACATTCAGTCCCTTGAGTATTATCAAATTAACAATTGTAGTCCTTCCACTATGATTTTGACACAATAAGTGGAGGACTAAAATGTCATTTTATAACAGTTGAAGGACCAAAAGTTTTAATTTTATGAAAGTCAGGGGACTAAATATGGAAAATTTCAAAGGAGGATACTAAAAATGTCCCTATCACAATAGTCGAGCACTAAAAGTGAAAAAAATCAAAGTCAAGTAACAAAATTATCAATGAAATAATAGTCAGAGGACTAAAAGTGGAAAAAATTATTTCTGTAACACTATAAAGAGAATTCGTAAGAAACTTTTATTATAGCGCCCATCATTATTTGAAGTGTTTGATTATTTTTTAAAATATTTATACTTTTCCATATTTCATTACTTTCATCAAAATGTATTTGGGAGTAGGAAAAATAAAGGTAGGAACCAACCACCTGGAACCGGCAAGCTGGAACAGTAAACCCAAGCACGGTAATGGTTGTTTTTTTCCCAATCACGGTAATGGTACCTACTATCAGGGAACTGGGAATGAATGGTCAGGGAACCAGAACTGGAGTGGACCTCTAATACTCATAAGTCATACCCAGAGAAAATATATTCAACATCGACTGCATCCTACCTATATTTGTCGAATTGTCGGTCAGTACAACTTTCATCAACGATAAATAAAGATTTCTCCCCATCCAAATCAGGAAAACTCGGGTGTTTATCACCAACACCATCTACATTGTAACATTTAAGGCTACAGTAACTGGAATGGCCAAATGGGGAAATAGATCTCCAGGAAATCCATTGCTAAAACAAGTCAAACTCTATATGCTCATCTCCTGCAAGGAACTTCTTTTCAGGAATGTCAAGGTCACACAGCTCGGGCACAAGAGGCGGGATTGCACAGCGTATCAAAGCCCAGTTCAAACCATCAAAGAACGGGTGTCGTTTAATCTCAGCAGCTCCCGTTTCTGAGCCTAACCGGTTTTCTGGTTCCTTCACCAAGAGCCCTCTCATCAAATCCCGAGCCTGAGAACTAACCATAGGCCCATCTGGGAACCTCAGTCCCTGCAACACCACATTTGCCAAAGTCTCATCATTCTCAGCACCCTTGAATGGTGTCCTCCCATAGAGAAGCTCATAGAGTAACACCCCAAGGGTCCACCAATCCACGGCACTCCCGTGGCCCTCACCTTTGATGATCTCGGGGGCCAAATACTCATGGGTACCGACAAAAGAGTTTGACCGGGCCTCGGTTGGCTCAACCACAACTTGTGGCACTGATCTGTTCAACACTGCTAGCTTTCTGGCTCTGGCAGAGGCAGGTAGGATCCTAGGGGTAAAGCAGGAAACTTGGCATGAAGGTCCGGCACAAAAGGGATCTATGCAGTTGGATCCAGTGCACGGACCAGAAACCCTAGCGGGCTCCAATAGGAAAGAGGATGATGATTTTAGGAGAGTCGGGTTAACGGAACATCTCAAGGAAAGGTCAAAATCTGTGAGCATTATATGCCCATCTTCGCGTACCATAATGTTTTCCGGTTTCAAATCACGGTAAACCACCCCCATCATATGCAGATACTCAAGAGCAAGGAGGACTTCAGCTACATAAAACCTGCAACCAGAATCACACTCTACTTTTTCTGAGATATTAACTTTAGAATATGAAACCAATCTTGTTAAACCAAAACAGCTACACAAATATCACTATTTACATAAATGATTCACTCTTGTTTCATTGACACTTTAGCCATGATTGGTAAAGAGCCAGCCAGCCTATTAAAAAGTTTTAGCTTTTTGAGTGAAGTAGCAAACAGCTTGACCATGTAAAAAAACCATTTTTTGTGTTCCCCTTTTTTGGTACCTCAAAAACCCTAACTGAAAAAGGCGGGTGTGGTGCTTGTGGGGGATGTTTCTATTTTTAGAGCGTTTCTCACCAAACATAAATGCAGAAACATATTAAGTAAATAATCTAACCGATTCCATAAATGATACTCTAATATGCCAATAGCAGGAAATATCTAATTACCCAACACTTTGGATAAAGATTACCAGGATTTACTTACATTACCAAAAGTTTTCATTTTTGACACATAGATGCTACAAGTCACTAATTCAGAGATCCTATATTATTATGAGTCACACTATAGTATGAAAAGCAAAACAAAAAAAACGACTAATGTACCAATATAGAAAAAAACTATGTAGTATTGATATTTTGCAAAAACAATGATTCATGAATTTAATATTGCAGGGAACACATAAAACCAAAGGAGCCTTGGTGCCAGAGGCTAGCTGGGGGTTGGAGGGGGCCTCCCCCCAACAATTTTTTGTATGTAAATGTGTGTAAAATTTATTATCAATAAAAGATTATGTAAATATAAGCCTCCCCCCAACATCCAAATACCACATTTTTGTTTCCGCAACTGCTTAGCAAACCTATTTAGGTGTTGCCATGTAACCTGAGGTCATGAGTGCGAGTCCATCAATGCAACCTCTTACAAAAATGCAGTTTAAGGCACCTACATTACAACTTTGAGGTGGGACACTTCAACAGGCCCTCGCTTAGCGGGGACATATTATGGCGCACCAGGTTGCCCCCGTTTTTTTTCTATATATATGATGAACACATAAAACCACCATACCTTGCTGCTGATTCAGGGAAATATCTGTTTGGCTGCTTTTGCCGGATCACATGAAGATCCCCACCAGAGCAGAACTCCATAACCAAACACGACAAATTATCAGAAGTGAACTGTGCATACAAAGTCGGGAGGAAAGGATGATCCAACATTCTCAAGATCTCTCTTTCTGTTTGTGCCCTTGGCAACTTCTTCCTCATAGCCAAATATTCATTATCCATAACCTTTATTGCAAAAAAACAATTTGTTCCTATTAACTCACCGAGATACACCGTACCAATATCCCCACAACCCAACTTCCTCAATAGATCAAAATGAAACAAACCCAGAAACCCGTTCTGGTGCTTGACTCGACTTATAGCTTCCCATCTTCTGTCCTTTGACATGTGGGGCCTAATTCCGGAACAAGACCTACTTAGATTGCTCTCTTCACTTAAAGTGGTGCTACTACTATACTCACCCATGCTAGTCTTTGAGCTGTGGGAAAAGTCCACTTCTTTGTATTTCGAAGTCTTGTTTGGAACAAGAGCGCAGTTTTTTTCATCATCATCCTTCACGTCCTCTAAGGAACACTTACATCTCTGGCAGACAACTTGCTCCTCACCGTAAACCATAACAGCGTCCGAGGGATTTTCTTGTAATTCCTCTTTTGGTTTCTTTGTTAGATTCTTGTTCCGGATTGCCACGCGAGATGTGTTTCTTGAATGCTTGATGTCCTTGTTGTTTCCCTTTGTTGCATTGGACAAAGGAACACTTTGCAATCTCCCCTTCCTTCTTAGTTTAGGTGCGCCTTTAACTGGGGTCCTGCCAAATCTAGAAGGATTTGTGGTCAACTTTCTTGGTCCAGAGTTGCACTTGTCTTTAACTTCTTCATCATTCAGTACCATTTTTAATGATTGAGGAGGAGAAGAGTTTCTCTTTTCCATTTTAATGGGCTGCACCACAGCGTTTTTCTGACCTAGAGAAGACTCTTGACGGTATTGAGGCCCTTTTCTTAAGGAACTCTTCACAGGAAGTGTCTTAGCATCTTGGAATAAAGTGGAGCCAGTTGTCATAATGCTCATGTTCAAGAAATGCCTAGGAGAAGAATTTTCACTTCGGCTTAGTGAATAAGGCACTACCTTAGAAGAAAAACTAGAGGATCCCGATTCAGGCATTGGCATGGGGGACCCTGGGGTCTTTGAAAGTCTTTTCATAGAAGCTATTTCCGCTGCCTGAGAAATGCATAATCCCCTAAATGCCTGTTTTAAAGAAACCACTGGTTCTTGATGCCCCTCAGCCCCGCCCCCTGGCCTCAATGGTGTTTTTGAGATCTCCCTTCTTGCCTGGTCAGACAAATCCACACTCTTTGATGTTCGGAGGTCGATTGCATCAAAAAGTCGATTGATGTCATCTTCCACCAAATACTTATTGGAGGGCCCCTTTTTCTGCACTGGAGGCTTCCCATGGCGGGACTTTTCAGATTTCAGCTCCTCAATTTCAGAGTTATGTGGAAATGAAGCCATAACTCAGAAGCAAAGATAGCACACTAATCGGACAGAACTTAACACCATGTCAACACCATATATCTACCTGCGATAACAATCAAGATTTCAGTCACATTAATTATAAGAACAACCCGCTTCTATTATGTAAGCATGGTATGACTACATTCAGATAACTGTATATGTCTAAAGCAGCGATTTGTGTTAAAAACGTAATTGAATCCACAACACCGTTAAAAACACTGAAACAACAGTATGGATGAATGTAATAGGATTTCAGTTTCAATAAGAAGCTAATCACGGAGATGCATGTCTCTAACAAGAAAAGAAAACTTGATTCGCACAATTAGCCTCCTGCAAATTAAAAACGGAGTATAACTTTGCAGTATATTCCCCTGCAACAGAATAAAGTATATTTTTTCACTGTGGCAAGGCCTATTCTCTACTTATCTAGAGATGCAAGATAATTGAATAGGAACCAACTATTAACCAAATAGAGATATGTAAGTTTAGTACATTGTGCTCATTCTTATTAAATGCATCCCTCCGGAGTTCAGATATAATGCTTATACACACAATCCCACAAATTATCTCTAAGAGAGAGAGAGAGAAAAAACTTCTTTCCATAGCATAACAAGTTAACAACAAACATTGAAACTTTTAATCACACAAAAATGACCATAAGCAAATAAAAGAAGAAAGCCTTAAATGAATCTGAGAACAGTTATGAATAAGCCTGAAGTACAAAAATAAAAGTTCATGCTCATACAGCAAATTCATTTATTAAAGAGAAACAAGAAAAATATCACATAAGTTTGTGAAGACAGGCTGAAGGTTCATCATCAAAGGTGAAAGCTAAACCGCATGGTAGATTGGTAGATCGAAATGCAAATGCCTGACAAAGAGAGCTTCAAAATCTTACCTCAGAAAGCATACAGCATTATAAAGATCTAATCCACTTCAGATAATAATTTAGTTGAGATTAAGAAAATGTGAGGCTTAAAAATCCAATTCTGAGCGAGAGAGAGTTGGTCTACTTTTTTTCTGAAAATAATACAGAGTACATTTTTACTCCCATGGAGAAGAAAATCGAGAAAACTATTCGGTGGGCAGAGCAGGGAGGTGAGAAATTGTATGTGCGGGTGACGGGAATACGGATGCGCTTTCAGTGTTTTTGGTGTGAATTAGGATTTTTTTTAGTGTTTTCAATCTCATACCAAACTAAAACAAATCAGATCTTATTAGATTAGATCAGATTGAAACAGACCTGAAAAGAATATGGGGATGTTTGGAACTAATTCTGCTTCTGCTTCTTTTTTAAAGAAGAAGTAGAATCAGAATCAGTTTTCAGAAGCTGGTCTCCCCCAGCTTCTAAAAAACTGATTCTATGAGTAAATTACAGCATCAGAATCACTTGTGCACTTTCACCTAAACACTCCAACTTCTACTTTTGCTCCCTGAAGGAGTAGAAGCAGTTTTAAGAATCAGATCCAAACACCCCCTATATCTCACCAGACCAGATTAAACCATATTATTATTATTGATGAAGTTTAATTCCAATACGATAACTAATCTACAAAAATATACTACGTATAACATTTGGGCAGAGTAAGACAATATTTTATTAATTAGAAAAGTGATTTCTTTTTTGGGTACATAAAGTATTTATAGACATAGAGCTACAATAGCCTAAGGATACATAATCGGTACATTAAACAAGTCTAATCATGATATGACTCTTCTACGTATTCCATAACCCCGTATTTATTGCTCCTTTATGTCTATGTTTCTTCCGTTAAATCCATGCCTCTGTCAGATAGCAATGTGTAATAGATGTCACGTAAGCCCTAGGGTGATCCCGACCTCGCTAGAATACCGCCCAAGCTCGAGGCCTGCTGATCATGTCAGCCTGGATGTGGGTTCCTTTCGCGGGTCACAGTCCTCTGTTAGGCCCAGCTGGCTCTATTAATTAATTAATCCCGATAAATGGGCTTGGCTTACTGATCCCGTGCGATGGGCTTTGCGCATCATCCATAATTGGGCCATGGTCACAGTCCATGGTACCATCACGAGCCTCCTTACTCTCCAAAATAAGCCGGACTTGATTTTAGAAGAGTAAAGAACTCCAAATTTTGAATTTCCCTCACGAACTGTAGCGTCGTTTCGCATTTAATGTGGGGCTGTAATTTGACATGCGCCTTTGATTTCATTGTTTCCAATCCTGTCTTGCCAACTTCAGCACTTGAGTGTCTTGGTAGCAATTCCCTAGCGGTTTGAACGGCACCACGACCTCACTATAAAAGGTATGTCTTTCCTTCAAGAAAACCTTCTGCCAAATTCTTCTCGCATAGGCCTGTAATTCTGGTCTCAAACCCTAGACGAAGAGAGATCCCAGCGCCTCGTTCTCTTTTATTTTTCAGGTCAGTCTCTATGTCTTCGTCTAATCATGTCCCACATCTAATATGAATGTTACAGAGAGAGTAACATAGTGACAATTAATAATGATTGATCACAATAAAATGTTCTAACAAAAGTCAATCCTTTCAATTCAAGATTTTTCGATAGCAATTTTACACGCATATCTGAGGTGAAACAAGGAATATCTTTTGCTATTGAACTTGATTTGGAAAAGGTTGCTTGACAAAAAAGTCATTTCCTAAACTCTTATCTGACATTTGCCCAGGTTTTCGCTTACAACTGAATAAGTTCTTTTGCGTTGTTTATGATGCCAATATCTTCGATGGGTTTATCCGCATCATTGACATGCGACATGAATTCTTATTTGTTCGTAAGGACAAAACAAATTGGGATTTATTCATTTTTTTGTTGGACTTTCTAAAGCAATCTTCTTTATGCATAAATTAAATGTCACCATGCCCCCTCTTGCGATCAAACAGACCTCGGGTGAGATTTCGGATTATGTGGATTCTAACTATGTGTGGGATCTCACCATTCCATGGTCTGATGAGAATTATTTCAATACAAATGATTTTTCTATCTCGGATTATATCTACAAATTGATATGGCTACTTTGAGAAATCTATGGTGCTAAATTATATTAAATTCACTTCCTCTTTAGAAATCATTGAAGATTACTTTAAGATCATTAGGACTAACAAGGAGTACTCTCTTTTTGGCTTTTAAATTAGAATTTGAGAGGATCATCACCTCTTTTTTGAATGATCTTGACGCATTTCAGAGACACAACGAAGAAGAAAAAGCTACTAACCACTCCAACCTGGAAGCTTTTAAATTAGTGCTCTCTACAACGCTTGATATTGAGACTGAGTAGAACTATCCATTTTAAGGGGATGATTTTCTTAGTCAGTGACGGCACTAAAGTCGTTGTGTGCCTCAAAGTAAATTTAATACTAACACTAATACGTAGTATAGTGAAGTAGAGTTCGTATCCACGGGGAAAAGAATATTTTTCTTTTATGAACTAGTAATTAAAGTGGATTTTAAGGTTGATTTGATTTAATTAAATAAACACTAAGATGAATGACTTAAATGATTTTAATTAATGAGATAAAAGACTTGGCTTTGCTACTTTCCACTTGTTGATATGTTTGTTGATCCAGATTATATCTATAACTTATCCCCTCACGAATACTCAATCGAGGAGCATCTCCAATTCATCGAGGCTAGTTATTAATAACGACCGTTCATTAATAACTCTTACTATTAGCCAAATATAGAACACCACCATATACCGACTTGATAGTAGCATTTAATCTCTTAACTCCTTGATGAAATCAATTTAGATTGATAACCTCAACACAACGGTTTTGGCTTAACCAACACAATTAATCCCTCTTAAGATTATTAACCATGACCGTGCATTAATAACCCAAAGTTACTTACTTGTGAAACCATCCATGATTAATCATCGGTTCATTGATCGTTTCTAGTACTAATTAATGTCGAGATGTTAACTAATTGGGTTGCTCATTATTTGACTGAGGCCCATGGGGATAATGTTCAAGTTTATAGCAGCCCAAATCAGCTTCCAATTTATGTTAAGAGAGACTACTTTGGGCTTCCCTCTTTTAGATATTGACTTTTTTTTTATCATGGTCCGGTTTATAGCTTGGCTTCCAATTTTTTTCGGTAATTTTCTCTCTTTGTTGTATGCTTTAAATTGGGTCAAGTCTAGCCCCCCCCCCCATTTATTTCTATTTTTTATTTCCACATTCCGTTGTACTTCCTCCGTTCTTTTTTAGTTGCAATGGTCAATATTTCACACTTGCCAACGCACATCTTTGACCGTAATTATATCTTAATCTCTATTAGTAAAAAATATTTAAAAATTAGATTTTGAAAATTTGTAATGAGATGAATTGAACAATATTTTTTTTAAAAAATAATTTTCATAAAATAATAATATAAAATGTAGTCAAAGTAGAACATGTAAATTGTGTAAAATTCAACATGTTGCGATTAAGAAGAGATGGAGGATAGTATTTTTTAGAAGGTATGCCTTCTCTGGAGAGGTATTGGCCTAGTCCTCCTCTCTTTTTGTATCTTTTTTCTTTATTTTAATAAAACTCGGCAAATGTTCCCCGACATTTGCTCCACCGATTTTGGTGGTTTGCCTTCCGGGTTAAAAAAGATGTTAACTAATTGTCATTTAGCAACACTCACCAACATTAATATAGAGATATATTATGTGAAGAATTATTATTCAAGGGAAGAAATAAGAAAATAACTCACAACTTTAACATTCAACAAGCTTCAATAGTAAAACCAAGAAATGTAAGTTTAGCTCCTCATTTGGAGACTAAACAGTGCTAGAAAAATATAAAGAAATTACTAGTCTAAGTAGAGCTTAAGTATATGGAAGAAGGAATGATTATTGTGAAGGAAAAATGTGTTATTTATAGGTGTTTTCAACCCCATGCGGCGGATACCCGACCGGGTATCGGTCAAAATAAAATATTTCCCCACACCTTTGTGTTTTTCAGCACATCTGTTTGCCCGGATCAAGTCATACCCGACCGGGTAAAGGTACATACCCGACCGTTATTCGGACCAATTTCCCTGCAACTTCCATTTTCTCTTCATACCCGACCGGGTAAAGTAATATTCCCGACCGGGTGTTGTATGAAATCAGCCTTTTCTCCTTTTGTTGTCTTACAAGCTCATCCTTATTAATTGCAAAACTAACTAATCCCATTTTTCATGCTTACAACAATGCTTTGCACACAAATGGAGAACATAAAATCAAACATCATAAACCTATTAACTAAGTAACAAAGCATCATAAATTGAACCTAAAAAAAAACACTTATGAACTCATGATGTGTTCATATCAAATACCCCACACTCTTTAATTGTCTCGAGTTAACTGAAGTGTCCACATTCAATCCACATGTAAAGAGAGAGCAGAAGATCACCAAAAAAATTGTCTCAATATGTTTACAAATTACAAAAACATAAAACTGCATTAATTGGGTCTATTTATCTTCACTTCATTGGCTTGAGTCCTGATGTGAGTTTTCTCGCACTTAAAATAGATAGTAGTATAGGTTGTAAGTACGAGTATTGTCTCCATGGGGACGGAAAAGGGGAATCAAGAATAAATTAAATTCTGCAATTAAACTAAATAAAATAAAAGCGTCGTACGAGATTGATGGAATGGGAAAAAAACTAATGCAAATGAGCAGCTAAAAAATAATGGGGTCTCTCTAATTAATGACGAAGGGAACCAGGATTGATTCCGGGGTAATCAGATTTCTGGCAGATCAGGCTCAATCACATGAAATTTAATTAACTGAGCAACACTAATTAATACTTAGTTCTAACCGCTGTCGCGGCGTAGAGTACAATAATCTCTCGTGCGACAGATATCTAAAATTATTGTCAAAACGAGCGAGCGTACGACCCCTTAATCGCTACTAATCTCTTAGCGAACGATTAAGTGTGTGTGAAGGTGTCTTAGAATAAACTAGATCTCTCTTAATTTATTCTATGTGCAATTATAATCCTAGCAGCTGTTCTATGTTATAAGAGATATCAATTTAATTATTCAAACACAAATTAAATAAAGATACATGCAATTAATCCATCAAGAAACTAGCCATACATCATGATCATTGATCAAACTCTTCATCAATCCCAAATCCCTAATTTTGTTTTTTGAAGGACCAAATCCCTAATTAAAACTACTCACGATTCATAATTGAAGAATCAACAGAATTGGAATAAAAA